GCGACCCTTTTCAGGTGCCATGTTAATATTTGCACGGGAGTTGCTTTTTTAGGGCATGGGACAAAGAATGGAAGATTGTGGGCTTTGGCTTGGCTCGAAAGAGAGGCTTGAAAGCCTTTGCTCAATGAACTCTACATTTTTATCCGCCGGTTTGAGGTGTACCTGTTTCATTTCTTTGTCCCATCCTTGAGTCACAATCAAAGCCTGGTACCAAAAGGGTCTGTCTACAAGCCAGGACTGATCTCCGCGAAACGACTTCTGTCTGCATGCCCTCTGCTGGGATCGGGATCGGGAGACCTGGTGCCGATCGGCGTGATTTTTTGTATCCATCCGCAAGGTGAGCGATCCATGATCCTCCCAAATCTGAACACCCCAGTCCAGTCAGCGCCGGGAACTCTGCCCTTTTAGGTGGCTTTGCCTGATTTGCCCGTTAAAACGGGGCATCCACCGTATGAGCCCAGCTTGTTGGATGACTATCATTTCTGTCCAAGACATGGCACACCGGCCCTTTCCCAAACGGGCTTCCGGCTCCGGGCCAAACAAAAAGGTTCAAACAAAAAGGGGGGGGCCCAGCGCTGGGCCCCGGGGTGGCACGCCGAAAGTCCTCGATGAAGCTCTGCAACAAGTTCCCGATGAAGAGGGCGCTGGCGACCAGAAAGGTGGTGAGCAGCAGCCTTGGCCGGAGAGGTGCAGAGAGAAGTCTCTAGGTCCTCCAGTAGAGAGGTTAAAATAAGTTGGTACCATATTTTTTTCAGCGCATCTATTTTAGTAGGGAACCCTCCCCCAAAAAAGTTGGTAAAAGGGTAGAAAAAAGGGTAGAAGCGAGTTGGGTGTCCTATGCCATTCGCTGAAAGACCTCTTGGTGTTGAGGGTGCGGATTTAGTTCGGGAGGCAAATAGCCAAGAAGCCAAAAGCCGAAAGAAAATACCCATCCTGGCTTTCAAGGCGGGTCAACACAAACTTATGGGCCAAGGTGATTGTGAAACCAAAAGGGGTGTTAACCCTCATGGGTCCGGTGTGGTAAGGCATGCTGAAAACTTACTGGGTCCGCTTTAGTAAGCATTCTCAAAAGCCATGCCACCCTTTGAAGGGAAATGAACAGAAGATTGCTTGAAGACGGGATGCATTGAAGGGACATCCTCAAATTTTCCCCAGCAACATGATGGTTTCAAGGAAAGCACCCGCTTTCCGGGTAATTGGAGGGGGTTTGGCCAACAGATACCCAAACGGCAGAAACACAAGTAACTACTTTGGGAAGCCCTAAAACACACACCCGGTTCCAAAAGGGCCTGTTTTCTGGAAGCCTCTGAGAATGGTACAGTAGAGTCTTGGCCCGTCCAAAACACATATTTCCTTGTAATTTGGCCCCTTTGAGAAGGCAAACTAGCTCTCCTGAAACAAACCCAAAAACAACGAGCGGCCGAGCAGCATGGACCAAAGCAAACTCTGCAGGAAGGACTGGCATGCCTGGCATCGGCATCGTCCAGTCCTCGTGCCTCCTTTTGGGGCCAAGTTTAGTGTGAGAGGAAACCTAGAACCCAAACAAACAAGCGGATTCTCAGGGTGGAATCCATTCAAGGATTTTCTACACGTTGGTTTGGTCGATGGAAGGCCACATCCCTGAGACAAGCCACGGGAAGAAAAGGAGCATTTGTTTTTGCTGCAGGTGTTGTGAAGGGCCCAAAGCAAAGGAAACCGGGCACTGCCTGTCTGGCAGAGGGTCTAATTTTGAGGCAAACCAACCTAGTTGCTGAGCATGTTGAACAAGGGACCCAGAAGCCTTTGCCGTGGAAAACAACCACACAAATGGTGTTTCCCCGTAGGTTGGGAATCACTGGGCGTCCTAAACACCAATTTTTGGGAGTCAAAATTGTGGTTTTTTCGGCCCCCAACTAAAAAAAAACGGCGGGTGTCCGCCAAGGGGTGTTCGAGAAAAAGAAGAAAAGCCACCGGCCAAAAGCCCCGCCTTCATGAGCAAACGCAGGCCGCCGCAGAGCCGCAGGAACCGCAGCAAGCGCAGGTACCGCATGGAGTTGGTGGCATTCACCACGTAGACCGCGAGGCCCTGGCCCTGGGGCCAGGCCGGAGACCGGTCCGGACACGAGGCGTCCGTTTAGGAGGAATCGATGGGTTTCCCTGGTAGCTGAGGAAAAACCACCAGGTAAATCAGGAATCGAAACCCATCTATTGGTTGACGTTGGAAGGGGAGCAAAAATTGAGAAACGTTAGCAGTTAAGTGGGGATTTCCCATTAAACCACAATAAGCAAAAATGCAAAATGTGTCCCAACAACCACCGTGCTTTCCCGGCAAAACCGCCAAAAAGGACACCTATGACACGCCTAAACACGCTGCCGCTTCTTTAGGGTCCCCTGAATTGGGTGTCCATGCGGCCGGTCTGTCAAACACGCGCAGGCCCGGGTCTGAGGGTCTGTGAGTAGGCCGAGCGGAATCAAAAAGCTACGCCCAGCTGAACTGCAAAGAACCAAGCAGTTCGGACCCCTCCAAATAGACGAGATAGTCTCATGTCAGTTGTCTTTTAGTTGAGATGATCGTGAACCCCATGCAAAAAAAAAGAACGACTCCACTGCTTGCCAAAGTTCAAAGTACAGGTTGTTTCGGCTCTACTAAAGAGCAACCAACACCTGAAATCGGTCATGTTGACATGCACCCAGGATAACGTCCCCCACTTTTCGAGCTGACCCCTATGCTTGGCACGCGCCAGGGTTCATGGACCCGCATGAACTGCCAAAAGGCCGTCAACCAAGGGGTTGAATATCTGCCAGCCTTCGCAGCTCAAGCAAACTGCGCTGCAGAAACCTTGATCATACTTTCAGGGCCTAAACAGGCCGAGTTTCTCATGGGAGAGCCATGTGTGTGCTTGTTTTGCCGCTTGTATTGCACAATGCACCTTCCAAAAGAGAGGAAGGTGAGGAAGGTTCTTGGCGCGGAACGGCCTTTTCATGCAGAATCGCCTGGACTGCGCTTTATGGGGAAGTGAGCTTCTGCCCCCATTAGGCAATAAGATCACAGTCACTCACATGGTCCGTCAGAGGGATTTCAGGCAACGAAGCTCACGGTTTGGACGCCACGAAAGATCAAGGACTATTGGAGCTACTTGGCTCCAAGCTACCTCAACCTGCAAGCCTTATATGCCCAACCTTGCCGGCGTTTGGGCCACGAAACGGCACATCGCCCAAGTAACGCAGAGACACATCTGGCAAACATGAAGAAACACCCTCGGAACTACTCAGACACCACCTCAAAGACATCCTCCCAAGAAAACAACACAGAACAGTCACGAGTCAGGGTAGAAATGGAGACCCTGCAAAAAAAAACCGGCAAAATGAAAGGAGCCCCGCCAGTTTGCTGCCTTCGAAAGCCTCCCAGGGCTAACGTCACAACTTCTTGAGCATCCCAGAGTCCCAGAAGTGTGCCATCTTGGGTATGTGGCAAACAGGGGAACCCTGAAAAAGTCAGACACTTGCACCCGACCAGGTCCCCAACTGAACCACCGCCCGGGTTTCCATTGGTTGACTCCAATCGAGAATGACCACTCAAATAACATGTTCAGATTCTGCCCCACGCCCAACCCCAACATTAGTGGAGGAGACCCCAATTCTGTGTCCTGGTGCTAGTTTACCTTACACGCTGCCCCATGGCCAACCCCAACATAAATAATTCAGCTTCCTTCCAATTGGTGGCTTGGCAGTTTGGGTGCGCCCATCTACCCTCCCTTTCCTGAACCAGGGGTTCAAATCCCCAGAACACCAATCCACCAACGAAGGAGTCCCATGGAGCAGACTCTACTCTCCCTCAGACTAACAGCCGGAGGCTCCCCCAATTGGCCAATCCTCTTGGGGACACTTCCTCATTCTCTCCAGGGATCCTTCTTTCCAGAAAACCCAGGGGAAACAGCCGGTTTGTGGAAAGAACGATGGTTGAAAAGAATGCATGGGGAATCAACCCCTAGAATAATCCAGCTTGTTTTTGGTTTTTAACCCTGGCTCAAGGGTTCCGTTCGGGAGCTATGGAATCACCTGGGGGCGTGGTACCTCGCACTCTGCGCCTTCTCCACGGACCGGACTGCTGCATCCAGCAGGCCACAAATCGCCAGAAAGGCGTCGAAGCCGTTGGCAGGGCTGTGGAGGAATGGGAGGACGGCTCCTTGGCTACATGCTCCATGATGCCTTGCTTTTTTCTTTAGGGCGTTTGTGTATTTTGTTCTTTGTTCAGAAGGGGCTGGAGGTTGGAATAGCCTGCCTATTTGTTGGCGAGCTCACCTACAAGTACAACGTCAATCGGGCGCACGGCACATGGAATTAAACCCCAGCTAAACCCGTGGAACCCATCTATGTTTCTATGTTTAACCACCCTAACCTACAAAGGACTCCTACTTGGGCACCTCCCGCCTTCCAAATCCAGGGGCGCTTCTCAAGAAGTGGCTGGCTGGGAGCCACCACGTGCAGAGAACGGTGGGCGACCCTTCTGAAAAAAAGACCAAAAGCCCCAAAGAAAAAAACCAAGGCATCATGGAGCATGTTGTACTTTTAGGCGAGCTCGCCGACAAGTAGGCAGGCTATTCCAACCTCCGCCAAAAATAACTTCGTCTTTACTGGGCGCAAAACATCTTCAACCAAGAAGTTTTCCCAGGTGGAAGATCCAAATGGCAGCTAAGGCTCCTTGATCGCGCCATTCCAGGGCCAAACGCAGCAAAAGCTCCAGGAAGAAGGCGACGTCGAAAAAGTAGTTCCTGGGAATCAGGGAAAAGCCTCGAGGACTTTCACAACACATCCCGTTGTCTGGGGGGCTTTCGAGGCCCATCACGATCATGTGCTGTAAAACTGGGACACCTCCCAAAATCTGTGGTTGTCTTGCAACGGTTTCTCTGACCCACCCAGAAACGACACCCTTCTCGTCACCTGTGGCTTCAACTCGTCACCTTCAAGCCAGTGTTGTTGCATAAACCCCCATGTCCTGTCCGCCAAACAAATCAATCCAACTCACATTCATACTCATTTGGAAGTGTCCTTTTCTGGAGTTAGCGGGCTTCCGCAGAGAATACCGAAAAGAACTTTGTTGTGTGTCTCGTAGCAAAACTAGCAGTTAAGTGAGGATTTCAACAACCACAATAAGCAAAAATGCAAAATGTTTCCCAACAACAACCATAAAGGGGGACAAAAACGCACTTTTGACACAAACCCATAACCCTCTTGGCTTCGGTTTCTTCTCGTGGAACGATCGCTCCCTTTGCCCCCCGAAACATCACCCAGCTCCCGTGGCATTTCCGCCAGGATGTTTAACCCAAGCCGGGCATAGCTTCGGCTTGAAAATCACAGGTGCGGGGGGGGGGGGGGAACAAAAAAAAAGACGCCCCACAGTGGATGGACGAAATCCGTTCTACCACTATCACCTTTATGAAACCCTGGAAGGATGATTCCCCTGCAAATACCAACAAACCTTATCTAGGTCCTCCAGTAGAGAGATTAGAATAAGAGTACCCAATTTTTTCTCTAGTCTTCCTCCCCACCAACAAAGGGGTTAAGAAGGGCACTACTGGCGGACCTAGTAATGGTTTCCCATGGTTCCTAGGTGGCGCGACATGGATTTCCTTCATCCGCACAGAGCCCTCCATCTACCTCAAGGCGCAGTGCCAGGAACGCATCCACCGCCCCGGGCAGAGGTTCCACGCTCTCGTCCCAGAGGTGGTCCTGGCGGCCGTTGACCTCCAGCTCCAAGATCATCGCCAAGCAGTTCCTTGAGATCTTGGTTGACGTTGGAAGGGGAGCAAAAATAAAAACCTGAGGGTTTTTTCATCTGGGATTACACCCTTGGGAAACGGCCCAAAATGGTCCAAAATGACATGACTTTATCCCGGAAATATGCCTAAATGGGGTCATTTCCCAGTGGGCGTAATCCCAGGGTGCAATACAAAAACCCTCAGAATTTTAGCAGCGAAGTGGATTGATTTCAACCACTAAACCACACAAAGCGAAAATGTAACATGTTGCCCAACAACAACCATGAGTTGGGGTGGCCGGCATGGGAGAACCCCAACAAGATGCTTGGCCCGCTTCTTGGAGAAACCCCCTTGACTGGCCAGATTCAAGGGCACCAAAAAAGAACCGGCGGCCTTTTTTCGGGCGGGCGCTTTTTTGGGGTTGATTTCATGGGGAAAACGATTTGCTGGCAGGTGATTAAAAGCCTCCATGTCGAACGGTTCGTTAGTGGCCAGATGCTCTGCTCATTTGCTCGTCCCTTAAACCCAACCACTGTTGGTGGTTTAAAAGGCTATGGTCTAAAGACCAACCCCGCCCGAAACCTCTCGAACCGCGCGAACGTTGGCCCCAAATCCATCGGAGTGGCAAACACGTCTGAGGGATGGGCAACACTTGCTATCAGAATACGATGTTATTGTTTTTGTTGTTTTTTTTTTTTTTTTTTTTTAAACGATATGTTGACCGAAGGGCAAGTAGGAGAAAAGGGTCGCCCTCCTGAGGCGAGTGGAACTGCCGAAGCTGAAGCTCTGACGGAACGCTGGCGGATGTGGCCACCCCCGTGCTGCGGGGGGATTCTGATCTCATCCCCTCTCGGCGGTCCCAACATGGAGATGGGTCAAAAATAAGCCAGGAATTGGACCGCAGGTAGCAGGGTTCCATTTTGGGTATCTTTGACCCACACCCATACAATATTCCATCCATAAAGCAGGTCAGAGGGACACAGCCCCAGTTTCTGACTTTGACAAAGCCAAAAACTGTCGGCCCTGGACAAAGAGCAGTGCACACCTCGCAATGACGAGGCTCGCCAGCACCAGCACCGCGGCTCCGGTGTCGAACCACTGTCTCCCCTGCACCAGTTGGGCTCTTGGGATCCGACGTGCAGGTTCAAGATATGGTGGCCCCTGTCATACTTGCAAGGGCTGGCTACTGCCAATGATAAGCTCGAACTGGCAATGTCGCTTTAGTTGTTAAACTGGCCCGACATCGGGTACCTAACCGGCTTGCTGTTGACCAGGCTTTCCTCTCGTGACTTGACCACCGTTTTGCCACGGCATTGTGGCCTTGCCCTGCGGGCTCCGCACGACGAGACGTAGCTTCTTCGGGGCCGCGCCGTGGCGCGTGAGTAGACGAGCACGGGGATCGCGATGAGGACGGGCTGTAAGTCCAGTCGCGGTGACTGGACCCAAAATTTATGGTAGCTAGCAAGTAGGCAAGTTCGTCATGTCGGGCATAGTCAGTTTGACGCTTGCGGGAACAAGTGATCGTTTATAAGACATACTATGCTTTCCCAAGTTGTCTTAGCTGTTTAACAATTGTGGACACCTACATATCATCAACACACAAATGTTCAATATGTCCTTTAAGTTGTTGTAAGTCAAGTTGAGTGAGTGTGATACTTGACAAGTTGTTGTAACTTCTTGTAACTCTGTTGGGCTTTGTTCAAGCTAACTTTCGAGTTGCGAGGGGCATGGGTGATTTCAGAGTTTTGTGAGCGAGTTGAGAGAGTTCTCAGAGGCATACTTGGTTTGGGAGTTTTCAGGCACAATCATGACCGTAAAGTTTAGAGGAACATGCTGTATTTGGAGGCCTTTGCAAAGCATTGGTGAGTTGGGTGAGTTGAGAGTTTCAAGGGACATGAGTGACTTTTGAAGTACACTATTGACTTGTGAGTTTCGAGGGGTATGGGGGATTTGAGAGTTGCGAGGGACGTGAGGGTTTTCAGGGGCATGGGTGATGATAGTGGACAGGATAGTTTTGATGGACGTGAGTGAATCGTTCACTCGAGAGCTCTGAGGGACATGGGTAGAATGAAAAACTGTCTGCGTACTTTCAAAAAAAGAAAACCTATTGGAATACGTTCAGAAAGTCCCCAATTCATCCGCAAACCTATTTCCGTTTCTAGAATTCAGAAAAACTCTACACATCCAGAAAATTCTGAACAAATCCTTTTCCAAGTGCTAACTTCCATTTATGACAAACAAGACAAATCCAAAGAAACTCAAGAAAGCACCTGAAAATTCTGAACTCCAAATACTCATGTCCATTTGCAGAGTTCAGAAAAAATCTGACAAAATTGGCGGAATGCTGGTTTCGTGGCAGGCGCGGTACTTTGGCCCTGCTGATGCTGGCTTGCGTGGCAGGCGCCAGACTTTGCGCAAGTCTTCGTTGCTTTGCGTGGCACACATACTTGCTCTCACTCACTGTCTCAACTTACGCTCACTCACACTCAACCATTCTGACTCTCGCTCACTCAACTTCCACTCGCTCAACTCACTCAGCTTTCGCATAATCTCGCTCAATTTCAACCATTCGAAAATCAAATCTCATGTCACAGACACCCCACCGCCCATCCATGCCCCAAAGGTGCGGGCCGAAAGGGGGCTCAATTCTGTGCTAGTTGAGAGGGGAAGTGAAGGAAAACCAAAAAGTTGCCAAAGTCAAAAAGCTCAGCTATGTCTGGCAGCATTGCGGTGGCGCGATGTAGCCGCCAGAAGCCGCATTACCCTTATTACCCTTCATCATCTCCCCGAGCGGCGAAAAAGAGATCTTGAGCCAACATGGAGCCCAAAATTCCCCCCCCCCCCCCCGTTCCAGCCCCAAGTCACCCGATCCGCGGATCCGCGATCCATAAGCGATCCGCCTTGTCAGGGCGGACGGCGGTGGCTTCGCTGATCTGCGGGCTCAAAATGTTGGTGGAGATTTGCCGCGTCTCGGGGATCGCGCAGATCGTGGCCTGGCCACGCGAGATTTTTGGGTGCAGCCCGCGCTGGGTTCTTCGCACCGAGAAAAAGGAAAAAAACTGGGCACTGGCCAAGAGAATAGCAACCCCGAAGAAACCTGGATGACCAACAGTTGTCGAATGACAGAATCACGCTTAGTGGGGGTGAAAGGGTCGGCTCCTGTATGGTTGGTCAGGCAGGTTGTGGCCTGCCGCTTCTTTTGGAGCCTTTTACTTGGCCAAAATCTAAGGTGCGCCGCTGCAAAACAATATGCTCTGATTCTGCTTCAGAGGAGACCCCAGGTTGTGGTTTTTTGCTTGGGATGAGGCCATTTTGGGGGCTGAGAGCCTCAGATCTTGGCTGCCCTGCACGTTTCCACAGCCCTTCCCTCGACACGGGCCTGGAAATCTCTGTCCGCAGGCCGCCCCATGGACACGGTTTGGGAGACGGGCGGCGAGAGCGCTTGCTCAGGCACGCCTTGAGTGCACCCGAAGGCCGAAGGCAGAGTTTTCGGTTGGCAGGGGCTTATCCAAGCTCCAAGGGGTGGATATCTGATTCGGTCCTCAGGGGTGCCCACTGCAGTTTCTAAAAAAGAATCCACAAGAACCATCAACATCGCCAGCATTGCTGCTAACATAACCGGTGCACGGTTGGTTTAAGCTTTGTATTTAAGCTGGTTTGAGGTCGGATTAAGATGGTTTTAGGGTTGGTGAACGTTCGACAAGGGTTTGTGCAGGGTAGGTTTAGGGTGGGTTCAGCGATGGTTTAGCCGGGTTCAGGGCTGCTTCAGGTTTGCTTTAGAGCTGGGGTGGGGTTGGGGGCTTGACGTCTTTTTCCGGTGGGGTTCAGGCTTGGGTTTACGGTGAGGGTTGGGTTTGTGTTGTGTTTATAGGATTTGTCGCGTTTGGGGTTGGTTGGCATGGGATAGGTTTGAGGGTGGGTTTAAGGTGAGTTTAGCTGTGTAGGGTTGGTTTAGGGCTGGGTTGGGTTGGGCCAGGGCTGCTTCAGGCTGGTTTGCTTAGGGCTGGTTCAAAGTTAGGGTCTGCGTAGGGTTGGCTTAGAGTAGGTTGCAAGCCAAACCCAGCCCAAAACAACACGAAAAAAAAAGCTGGGCCCCCTTTCTGAAGCATTGATGGGAGGCTTTGGTGCGGACGGTGCACCGGATTGTTTGCGTCATTTTTTTTCGCCAGCAAGATGCGCAGTGTTGCACAATGCGTCCTGCATCTGCACCAGTAACGCGTATGCACAAGTTCTGCAAAAACATTGTTTTGTTTATTGCTTCTCTGACTCAAGTTGGCTACTCGTGCCAAACTGTTGGATCCGCTCGGGTCGCTTTGGACCATTTGGCAGGCTTCACAGGCAACCTGAGGCTGCTACGCTTGCTTGCTGAATAAAACCAAATGAATATCCCATGCATGAACTCAGGAGGTGAGAAGCGCCCAAGAAGCCCCCAAACTGTCTCAACCGAAGCGACCCCTTAGGCGATGCAACTAGGCTGGCTGGCCCAGATGCATATTTCTACGTGTGCGAACGTAGTGCAAACTGTGAAACATTTTGCGAGGCTCAGCGTAGTCCTCGGGCTACTTGCTCTGCGTATTTTCTTGTACATCTTACCCAGCTCTCGACTGAGTCCCATCTGACCGCACAGAAAAGCGGCCGGCTTTTCGGAGGAACGCGTTCTTGCTTCCATACAGCTTGATCGCCGGAGTCTGCGCCAGTCTTCACGTGCTACTTTCGCACGGAAAAGCTGCTGGCCAGACCGCGCGGTCTAAACACCAAACCAACTATCGAGGCCACTTCCCAAAATCAAAGGTGGCGGCTGGTAGCGTTTGCCCTCATGTCATGTTGTCATCATTGACTCGACATCCGCAGGGTCGAGGGCACAAAGGCGCGTCTCCCACGCCAATCCGTGCAGAAGGTTGCGCGCACAGTGAGGAGTTGGCTCCACGTCGAACACGCCGAGGTCGCGCGGCTGTGTTACAAAGGCTGCAAAAGGCCGTTTTCGCACGTCAACCGACCTTGAAAAGCCGAAAGCGCCCTCAGTTGTTGCGCGTCGACCACGCCAACCCTTGCAGAGGGTTGCGCGGAGATGTTCAAAAGTACATGTTTACACGTCAGCCACGCCAGTAAGGGCTGCGCGGCGATGTTGAAAAGTAGCACTCGCTTTCAGTTTTGCACATCGAACCGTGCACAACCCTGCGAAGGGTTCCTGACCGACAAGTTGGCGCAGGCCAACTAAGAGTAATCTATGAGCGTCAAGCTGCTTTGCTGATTACTGTCTTTCTTTCAGGCGTGAATTCACTAGACTACTTCTTTAGTCAAACACCGCAAAAGACCTCTCCTGCAACTTGCTCAAGCAATCTCTTATGCAACTTGCTTTGCAACACTCTCGTGTACCTTTCTCGTGTAACTTGCCCTAGCGACCTCTGATGTAACTTCTTGTGTAACTCGCCCAAGCAAGCTCTCAGTGACACAGTGCAACTTGACTTGCGCAATCGGTGCAAACAAACATTAGAATCGGGTCGCTTCGTTCGCAACAATAAGCTCCAGTGGAACCCCCCCGCCCCCAACCACCCCCCCCCCCCGGGAAAAAACAACTAAGGACAGCCCAAAACACCCGGAGCCATCCCCGCAACCCCGGGCCGAGCGCCCCGCTGCACGCGTCGGGGATCGCCGGCTGCCGGGAGGGGAACTGCTGGCCCAGCGGGCGCTCGAGCGCCTTCTCCGCGAGCGCCTTCTCACGCCTCGTTCGCACCGCAGGCGCCGATGGCTGGGGTCGTGTCTCTAGACAACGGCGAATCGGAGGCGGCGAATCGGTGGGGGTGGGTCCACCCCTGGAGGATATGAACATAGTACTAAAAGATTATCAAAGAAAGGGCCAACCGCGAAAAAAGACAGAAAAAAACAAACATCCAAACCGTTTGCTACCCCCTTGGCCACATGAAACTTGGCACTGGTCCCCACAACCTGTGGTTTTATTGTGTTGTTTTCTTTTTTGACAAATAGGCCAAAGATTTCGAGAGACTCCAATGACCCCTGTGTGGTCATTTGTTGCAAGTTCCCTCCAAATGGACCATAGACCGGATACTTTGACCGAACCTCAAAAAAACATCAAAGCGGCAACTGCCTGGAAATCACCAGTGCCCTGCAAAAGGCGATCCCCACTTTCGGATGCTTCAGAATGCAAGCGTTGACTCGGCCCTCCAGTAGAGAGGTTCGAATAAGTGTACCCTTTTTTCTGTAGTCTATCTTAAGTCTTAGTAGGGGAACCCTGCTCCAAAAAAGGGCAAAAGGGCACTACTGGGGGACCTAGCTGAGGTAGCTTTCAATGTTTAGTCCCCCTTTTCCAGTGGCACGAGAGCAGGGGTGGAAAGACTAGAGCAGGGCTTCTCCCTTGTGTCCTTCCATGACACGAAAAAAGGGAGTGGATCGTTGTGGGCATGTGGGGGATGTTGGAATGCCTAGCGCGAAACCTGGCTCAAGAGACACATTGGGATGACCGAGTCAACACCCTCTACGTCTCGAGGGAAGCCGCGTGAGGCAACTTCCAAGGGAAAACATGTTGAGCAAACATGGTCAAACTCTTGGTGACAACGCGGCAAGAACTAGCCTCAATGGCTCACCCCCCGCCCCCCAGCAGCAATAAATTTAAGCTCCCTGCTGTGGGACAAATCATTTCCCAATAAGTTGAAGACCGAAGACCCAACCAAACAGCAGACAAGAAAGTGAAGTGAGGGTTCCATTGCCATCCCCTTCCTTCGCAACTCCAGAGGTGACATAAACGCCCTAGAACCTCTTTTGTTAAGCCACAAAGCAGCACCACAAAGCGGCTGGTGGAAGAAAGGTCCAACAAATCCGACATGAATAGGGGCGTATACCTGCTGAGCTTGTCTATTCGGAATATGAAGGACCCCAGGCCTTAGGCTATGTGAGCCCAGTTGCCAAAGCTGGCTCCTTTCACCAAGATCCAAACAGAAACCAAAGGGTCCGATTTCGATAGCCTTGGCAGTTTCATCAGGGCAACCCAGCGGTTTACAAGGGAATCCTCCACATTATCCCGCTTCTGTGATACCGACATGAGTCATTCCCATGGCTACTTTGTCACTTTCAACGGGATTCGCTTGGTCTCAAGAAAATTGGCCCTGAAACCTCAATTTTCCGCAGCTACCCTCCACCAGCTAACAGGGAAGTGCACAGATTTGTGTAGAAAGACTACTGATACTTTCCTCTTGGAAAGGGCCTTTTTGCACTTCCATGTTACTTGGTGGGAGCGTATCTTATCTTTAAAAAAACAGCTGGTCTTTGAGTGATTCCACTAGCCAGTATCCCCTTTTCAGGGTCCAGCCTCTCCGCGTTCAGCTTCTCCTTGAGGAATTGGTTTATGGAGTCCTTGCTCAGGACGCGGGCCTGTCCAGGTCGTCTTCATTGGCCCTTTTTGGAGAAATTGAAAAAACCGCCAAAGCGATGCTTAAAACCAAGGAGACCACAGGGAAGACAAAATGCTTCTCAAATGAATGAGAAGCCTTTTCAGATATCCCGGATTCGCATCCTTGTGACTACTTTGTCAGTTGTCTTCGAAATTCCCCTGATATAAATCAACAGGACATGGCCTTAAACCCAGTTTTCCACAAGCACGTTTGGATTTCAGCCCGGTTGCGACTGCAACCGCGCAATAGCCCCCGACTTTTAGTGGGTTAAATGGAAACTACCACGAAACACTACAAGGCTAAAAAGCTAAGGAACTGGATGGCTGGGAGCCACCAAGCCTTTTCAGGGTGGAGGCCAAGCTGCTTGCCTCCGGCACCAGCAATCGGCCCTCTTCGAGCTGCAGCTCGGCGCTCATGTGGGCGAAGGCCAGGCGAATGGATTCCTCAAAAGGCCGGGCTTCCACCACCCCAAAGCTGCACAACAAGACGGGAGTATGTGCGGCATGTGCCTTTTCCTTGATTGACCTTTGAAGGGAGCAAAAATTGAGAAATTTTAGCAGTTCAGTGGTTGGATTTCAACCACTAAACCACAATAAACAAAATGCAAAATGTTTCCTAAGAACAACCATGTTTTATGTTGTGCCTGTGTAGAGGATGTATATTCGGAACCCTGGGGAGTGACTTGAAACAATATTGGGCAGCAAATACGGTTGAGTTAAATGGCACTTTAGCGTGGTTGTAAGCCGGCAAAGCTATGGAAAGCTTGCCCTGCCCCTTCAAGTATGGGCTTCGGGGGAGAAAGTGAGGTGCGAGGTATCGAATCTATATAAAAAGAAATATATATACAAATCCGCCGACGCCAATCGAGCGTGTAGATGGCAGTCCGCAACTTGGTCTTCCTTCGGAATCTCTTATCAAAGCCGAAGGCTTTTGGAACTGCTATTTTTTGGGCATGCTGTGCTGGGTGTTTTTCCTTAGCCCAAATTCAAGGAACTTCAGAGCAGCGTTGTTTGTTCTCCTTCCACAGTTGCGTTGCTTGTTCTCCTTCCAGGCGGTAAGAGACCCATGTGACCTAGGCAAAAAGACGTCTTTTTCTGACTCCAAAATTGAGGTACCCTGCAGCCGACCTCAGAAGCGCGTCGTTTGGTCTCTTTTCACTTGTTAAGAGGCCCATGTGACCTAGGCAAAAAGACGTCTTTTTTCTGCCCCAAATTCGAGGCACCCTGCAGCCGACGTCAGAGGGGCGCTGTTTGTAATCGTCTGGTTCCTTACCCCAAAGTCCAGGCACTCTGCAGCCGACGTCAGAGGGGCATTGTTTGTTCTCCCTCAACACGTTAATAGCCCGATGTGACCTGGCAAAAGGGACGTCTTGTTCCCGGCCCCAAATTCGAGGCACCCTGCAGCCGACGTCAGAGCGGCGTTGTTTGTTCTTCTTCCACGCGTTAAGAGCCCACGTGACATCAGCCCCAGTTTATTAATAGGGGACTGTCCACTGGCGTCGGCGGAACGCTTTGCGATTTCAATATGTACAGGGGCACTGGCGACCCTTGGTACTGAATATGTGGACGACGTACGTCACCATTCCCACCCCACCCCCCTACCCGCCTGATGGCGACGACGACACAACCAACAACAACCAACAACAACCAACAACAACCAACAACAACCAACAACAACCAACAACAACCAACAACCAACAACAACACCCAACTACAACAACCACCACAACCACGACGACGACAACGACGCTGACGGCAAACGAAACCTTTCCCAGGCCGAAGGGCCATCCAGAAGGCATGCTGCTCCTCCGCGAGCTGCGCAAGCTCCCGGCCGTGGGCTGCCAGCACTTCGGCCATGGCCGCTTCGTTCGTTCCCAGGTCAAGTGGTTTGGGAAACTACCACCAAACCCCGAACAAAACAAAAACCTGACAGGATGGCTCGGAACCACCAAGCCAACTGCAAGGGTCTTGCGGGAAACTGGGGGGACATGATCCTCGTCTTGACCACTACGACAAAGATGATCATCCCAACCGTGGAGGAAAGAAACCAAAAGGAAGCCTTTCAGAGAAGCTTCAAAAGCAAGCGTCAAGTTTTCACAACTCACGGGGAAAACATGTGGACCATTCTGGAAGGATTTCTGGGAAAGGCTTGGTCCAAAACGACCCCCGCTTTCGGCTGGGACCGTGCTGGACCCGAGTTCTTCGCGCCGGGCTCTGGCTTGGAGCTCCGGTTCTTTGAGCCGATCCCAGTGGCCACATCACCGCGCCCTTGGAGCCCAGTCCAATTTTCGCCCCGAGAAAAGGATCGCCCCCAACCCACCTTTCCAAAGCGGCTTGATTGCGACAAAAGCAGGACAAAGTGCCATGAGAAAGCTGGCCTTTCAACTTCTACCCTCCAAATACGAGTCAGCAACTCCTTTTTTCATGGCCCTTCCATGAAGGTGAAAGAACAACTTCCGCCCTGGGCACCACAAGTGACCCTGAAACCGCGTGGGCCAAGCAACCTGTTCCAGCGCTCGGGCACCGGGCGGTGTCGCGGATCAAGAACATCTCCTTGCTTCCATTGGCTGGCTTGCTAGGGGGCTGGGATATGTACGCCTGCAAAAACAAGCCCAACAAGAGAGGTTAAAAACAGGAATGATGGCTTTTGGGGGCTCCCATGTTCAACCAGGGGGAATGCTTGGTTTCCGTCTTGCGCCGCTTTCAACCAACCCTAGAAAAGGGGGTTCCAACATGCTAGGGAGCGATGGGAGCCTAATGAAAAGTTAAATGGGGAACCTATCTTGGAGGGCTTAACCGCAACATCCGAATCACTTTCCGCCGGTCTGGTTCGCGGATGCGGGTATCGACCCGTGCGCAAAGGTGGGGGGAGCATCAAATACCTTCCTCACCGGCAAGCCTTCTTAAGGCGGCAGGCCATTTCTAAACCTGAAAACAAGGACCCCAAGTAAAGGACTGTGGTTCGTTTTGCCCCGTGAGCTCGCCAAAAAATTATGCAGATGGTTATTGGGAGTAGCCTGCTGCGCCTCGTTTTCATCCTGTTCCCTTTTCCAACCCCCAAACATGTTAAAAACATTGCACAAGCACAGAAACAGACACAGACACAGACACAGACACAGACGCAGACACAGACGCAGACGCAGACGCAGACGCAGACGCAGACGCAGACGCAGACCAAGACACAGACGCAGACGCAGACACAGACACAGACACAGACACAGACGCAGACACAGACACAGACGCAGACGCAGACACAGACACAGACACAGACACAAACACAGGCACAGGCACAGGCACACACACATACTTCAGCACGTTGTAGAGCTTCCGCCAGGAATGCAGTTTCGGCTTCAAGCATGCCAGAACATCTTTTGCTGGGCTGATTATCCTCATCTCAAACTCCATCAGCCAGCCCAGGTACTGCATGTCTGATCATGCAAGAAGATGGCGTCCGACTCCGTAAACAGAAAAGCCCCTTAGAAACAGGGGTTGCGCATGCACACACACACACACACACAAATTCATGTATCTGAAAACATCTGAAGATGGGCATGTCTCCTTGGTGAATCTGTAAGGCGTTTGCCTGAACCTTGGTACGTTTGGAGGGCTTCAGACAAACCCAAATCCAGCCTAAAAGTCAGAGACTTTTCCCGAACCTGGTATTTTTACTCAGGCGCCTCAAGCTTTTGCGGGGAGGACACCAGCAGCCACCACCAAAGGCAAGGAAGCACCCTCTTGCTGGGACCGCTGCCTTCACAAACCAACCGAGCATGAGCTGACATGGATGTGATTACTTGGACCCCCCAACCCTCCGCAGAACTGCCCCCTACACAAAAACGGAAGGAACCCAAAGGTGGCGGTTCCCCAAAAGGAGTGGCGGTTCCCCAAAAAGGAGTTGCCTCTGTGGTGGTGCTTGGTTCCATGTTCATCTCTAGAATAAACTGAATATGCCCACCCTATGTGTTCAACAAACTGGAGAAGGCCCCCCCCCCCAACGGAGCCAAAAAAGAAGGCGGTGTTTTACTCCCTCGGAGAAACGTGATTGCCCAATTATGATTGTCCACTAAGTTGTTGCTGTGCTTCTTGATTTGGCCACCCCCAAACTCCCTAAAGGTCGCGCACGCAGTGCTCAGAGACCCGGATTCGTTCGTTCATTGCCCACTAAGAAGTCCCAAAAGTCTCAAGTCCAACTTGAACCGTAAGGCCAATCAGCGGTTTCCCATCAATAGCGTCCTTCCATCGGAAGGAAACCCTGCGCAATGCTTATCTCTCTCCTAAGAACGCGATTGGCGGTTTTCAGAAATTTGTAGTTCATTTGGGTGGCTTCTCATGTGCCTGTACAAGAAGTAAGGGTAAGACATCCCCAAACCACCAAACACAGCTGTTCCACCCTTCTAGTTTGGCCATGAATTCATGCAACACCAAAAGGTCACCCGCATCTCCTTCTCCAGCATGTTCTTGCTGTTGAAGACATCCTTGCGGAATTAGCGCTTGTCTAAAAGGACACGCCGTGGGCGACTCCTACAAAATCATGTCAAATTTTGGGGCTGGCTAAATCTGAAGCAGCATGGGAAAAATGACTTTCTGCAACCCCCAGATTCGGGCCCAGCCATCACGCCGCTTTTGCCGAAGCGCAACGGGCAAGGCCAATCTGAAAGAGAAACATCTGCCGGCAAACTCACAAAGGCACCCGTCAGCGTCACCCTCTGTGCGACCAATGTGGGTGTGCACGTGTTGGTATGAGTGAGGATGCCCTGAACAGGAGTGCCAGACTGCCGCTGGGCTGCTTGAGTGACATCCTCGAATATTACTTGGCTCTGTCTTCTTGGTACCACGTGCGTCTCCTTTCCTCAAACTTCATCTTAAACTTATTGGATGGATCCATTTGGCACTCTCTACACCGCCCCCGCTCAATCCATTCAGTGGCCTACTTTCTGGCTGGTCCTTAGAAACCGCCCTTGTTTGCTCTGAAGTGGCCATTGTGTTCCAGCTCCATCCCTGAAAGCCAGGCAGCTGATTTCAAAAGCGGCAAACATGTCCATTCGTTTCCCCGTAAACCCCGGAAGGGGTCCCTTTGGAACTTCCGACGTGCCCTTCGCACCTGGAACTTCGACACGTACCTCGGGCAAGACACATTCCCGGGCGTGGGGTTCTTCAGGTGGGCAGTGGATTCCCAGCAGAGTGCAAGTCAAATGACCACATCCCAACCAGGACCTGGTGAGCAGGCCATGCCGTGGCTAGTTGCACAAGTTCCCTCGTTCCCAAACTTGCAATATTTAGGGCATCCATAGCATGCGGTGCCTTTGTAGCACACAGGACGCTTCCCCCGTACATACGAGCAAGAAACTAAACTGTCCAACCCTTGGCATGCAGCCCGCCCGCTACACATGAACAGAACTGGGCAAAACACAAATGGAATAAACACACATAAACAAGCAAGCAAATAAGAAAACCAAGCAAGCAAGCCAAGCCAAGCCAAGCCAAGCCAAGCCAAGCCGGCCAAGCAGGCCAGCAAGCAAGCAAGCAAGCAAGCAAGCAAGCAAGCAAGCAAGCAAGCAAGCAAGCAAGCAAGCAAGCAAGCAAGCAAGCAAGCAAGCAAGCAAGTCCAGTCAAGTCAAGTCCAGTCAAGTCAAGTCAAGTCAAGTCAAGTCAAGTCAAGTCAAGTCAAGCAAGCAAGTCAAGCAAGCCAAGCCAAGCCAAGCCAAGCAGGCCAAGCAGGCCAGCAAGCAAGCAAGCAAGCAAGCAGTCAAGTCAAGTCAAGTCCAGTCAAGTCAAGTCCAGTCAAGTCAAGTCAAGTCAAGCAAGCAAGTCAAGCAAGCCAAGCCAAGCCAAGCCAAGCCACGCCAAGCCGAGCCAAGCAACCAAGCAAGCAAACCACAAAAACAAACACAGACAAAGAAAGCTATCCAACATCCCGACCCTGTTTCTCTCCAAAATAAGACCCTCATATGGCCTCATTTAAATTCATTGAAACGAGGGTTGATGAGACTTCGAGAGGTCAGTGCCCTTGTGGGGGGGGGGGCCACACCCTTGTACCAATGCCACTGACCCCTGATCGATTCGGGGCCCTGTTGGACCAACCCAGCTGCGGTGCCAAGAGGAACCAACCAGAAGGCCGGATCGACCCCAAAGCACATTCTCGCAAGCACCTTCGCTTTTGGCAACTGGAAGGGTCTTCCGAAAAGAAAAAGAAAAAAAACCTAGGAAGTAACACCTGCTTGTTGAAACTGGAATGGTCTTCCGAAAAAAGAAAAGAAAAAGAGAAAAGAAAATGACAAAAGGAGAAACAAAAACTCGGAAGTCCAGGAACTCAGGGGGCGAGATGGGAGTTTTCTGAAGGGTAACCCATCCCCCCGAAAGAGACAGGCTAAAGCAAACAGACCGTGTGCTGTTTGCATCGCCAGGAGCCGCGCCAGCTGAAGGGTTTGCACTGCATCTTCTTCCTGAGGGCTTGTCTCTCCGAGATGTCACCTGAGATGCAGGGAGACATTTGCACAAACCAAGCACCAAGCAAGCAAAGAAACCAACCAACACACAAACCAACCAACCAACACACACACACACAAACCAACCAACCGACACACACACACACACACCAACCAACCAACACACACACAAACAAACAAAACCAACAAACAAACCGGACAAACAAATCATGTGCTTAGAAACCGACTCTGTGTCGAGAGTATCTGCACAACATTTTAAGCTTTACCCGTTCCCAAACTGGAAATATACGGATCAGATTCCCAAGCCAACCTTCATGAGCTCAGTTTACCCCGCCCGAAACTCCAAGCTGGCTTTCCCCCCAAAAAAAACACTCCTCGTCCAAAATGGCCCCTTGGCCCATTTTCCCCGAG